TGGTCTGCTTGCGATTCCTAGACAGGAGCTGGTATGAAGGGCTCAATCTGCAGGTGTCACATTATTCAAAGTCATTTGTGTTACCAAAGATTCCTTTCATCCTAATTGTTTTATGTCTTTAATTAATTAATTAATTAATTTTGAGACAGGGTCCTGCTCTGTCGCCCAGGCTGGAGTACAGTAGCACAATCACAGCTCACTGCAGCCTCAATCTCCCAGGGTCAATCAATCCTCTCACTTCAGCCTCCCTAGTAGCTGGAACCAAGGCTCCTGCCACTGTATCTGGCGAATGTTTGTATTTTTTATAGAGACTGTGTCTCACTATGTTGCTCGGGCTGGTCTTTAACTCCTGGCTTCAGGTGATCCTCCTGCCTCGGCCTCCGAAAGTGCTGGGATTACAGGCGTGAGCCACGGTGCCCCACCTCTAAGTTGTTTTCTAACAATCATTGTCCAGATAACTGGCCCTCAGCCCGGAGCAAAGGGAGAGAGTGGGCTGGGGGTGGGGAACAGCCTGTGATCCTAACCCCAGATGAGCCTCATCAGGAATGAGGTCTCACGGGCAGAATTCCTTTTCCCTACATCTCTTCAGAAGGACTTAGTGCATGAAGCTAGGGACATCCATGTGCTCAGCGCCTCATCTCTAATCCTATTAGACTGGGGCTTGGGTGGGTAGGGGAGACTATGAGGGAACCAAGCCTCAAGGGTATCGAAACCTCTGGAAAGCCATTCATCCATATAACTCAGCTCTGCCCAATTGTCCCTCAGCTGAGGTCACTGGCCTCAGTTTCCTCATCCACCACATGGGTTGAATGAGCTGTTTCCTCTACCAAGCTGAAGGGACTGGCCTCCCTAGATGATTTATTCTTGCACTAGCCAATCTCTAAAAAGAGTGCAGGTATGGGCATTTCTGACAGGTAGGAAGACAATGAATAACTAAGATGCAGGCCCTAGGCCAGGTGCAGTGTGGCTTATGCCTGTAATCCCAGCACTTTGGGAGGCTGAGGTGGGTGGATCACTTGTGGTCAGGAGTTCAAGACCAGCCTGGCCAACATGGTGAAACCCCGTCTCCACTAAAGATACAAAATAATTAGCTGGGCATGGTGGGGCATGCCTGTAGTCCCAGCTACTCTGGAGGCTGAGGCAGAATTGCTTGAACCTGGGAGAAGGCAGAGGTTGCAATGAGCCGAGATTGTGCCACGGCACTCCAGCCTAGGTGACAGAGTGAGACTAAAAAAAAAAAAAAAAAAAAAAGAAAAGAAAAAAGAAAGAAAAAGATCTCAGGCTCTAAAGACATGGGTTTGAATCCTGGCTCTACCCTTTAAGTGGACTGATCTATGTAAAACACCCAGAGCAGGGTCTGAAGTTCAGAAGTGCTCCAGAAAATTCAGCCATCCTTGTCAACACTGGTATTAAACATACTGTATTATTTTTTAAATTGCATTTTCTGTCTGTCTGACCCTGTTGTACTGTCACCTCCACTCCTCTCATGTTCCCTGATTTATCCCGAGCGCCTAGAACAGTGCCCTGCACACAGTAGGTGTCTATATCTATCAACATTTATTATGTTGGTGACCCCTCCGAGCCAGGGGGCACACGCAGAGACGAGATGAGGAAGTCGCTTTTCCGTGAGATTCCGCACGGAGTCCCTGATGCGCCATGGCCCCACTTCCCAGGCTGGGTTTGAGCCAAGGGACTTAGGTCAAGCCACTGGAGGAGGCACGTCTTCCCCGCATAGTAGCAAGCTGGCAGCATGCTGCCCACCTAGCTTATCCCGGGTCTGCCCAGGTGCTTGGTGGAGACATTGCTTCATCCTCCAGCGTAAGCCCCTTTGGCTTGCGTAAGAATAAACGTTTCTTCCAGTTGAGAGCTCCAGTTTACAGGCATCTGGGCAATATGTCAGGGACCTGCCATCCTGGGGAAAGGGACAGTGTGCTGACCCCATAGCCCAGGGGAAAGTCTGTCCTGTCCCTCCTGCTCAGCTGAGCTACAGAGAAGCCGGTCCTGTCGGGAAGAGAGGACGCAGGAGGCAGATTTATCCTCACAGGGCGTCTCCCTACAGGTCCTTACGTGCAGAGGATTCCTGGCCCGGCACCTCCCAGGACCACAGCGATGTGCGGATGGTGTCAAGTCCACCTGCCCAGACTGAGGAGGGAGGGCAGTGGGAGTCGGAGCCCAGCAAGCCGGGGAGCTTTTGTGCAACACGCAGACTCTCCCGCCCCGATCGCTGCACCCGTCCCTCAGGAAGCGCTCGCAGCTTCACCTCTGCGGTTCACACGCACGGAAGCACATGCAGCCTGCCCTACTGGCCCTGCATCTGCCCTCCCCCAGCAGCTGTTCACCTCCTGGTCCCCTCTGCCCCTGTCAGACCCTCCATCTGTCTTCACACCTTTGATGGGAGCCTCTGGGTGAGCCTCTGAGCTTCTCCAATTCATCATGTCAGCCTCCCAGCCCTGAGGAATGGGCTGGAGGCCTCCTGAGGGTCTTTTACTTTTAACTTCAGTGAAATCCTGGGCTGGGTAGAGGGCTGGGGGTCCAACTTAGGAACTTCCAGGAGAGGGTGGAGAACACAGCATCCAACTCTGAAGCCTTCTAGCCATGGGGGATGCTCCTCCTTGATCTACTGTGCATCCCAACGGGCCCATTTCCCATCCCGACTCATACTCTGGAGGCCTGGGGCCTCTTATTTACTAAATCGCTCCTCTGTCCTGTAACAGAGCCCTGTGTTGGGGATAAAACTCAGCCCACAGCGAGACAGGGTGGGCTGGGAAGAGCAGTGGTCACAGAGTCAGGTGCCCTGGACTCTCAACCCTGGCCTGATCAATGCGCACCAGGGCCTTCCATCTCCAAAGCAAGACCGCTGCGCACAGAACCCTGAAGTCCCTCTCCAGCTTTCTAAGGACACTCCTCTAAATGTGTTTTGTAACACCGAGCTGGGGCCAGACTCCTTTTCTGGGTGTGGGCACTCTGGATTTCTGCAGCGTCCTCCCCCAGCCAGCTCGGGGATCCTGTTGTGACTCATCTCAAGGGCTCTGGGACTTATTCAAGGGCTCTGGAAGGTTAGCACTAATGAGATGGAGGCCATGACCTTGAACCCCAAAGAGGCCAATCGGGGCCCCCAGGAAAGACATTCTGGCCGACAGACTGTATTACATGTGCAGGGTTTAGTTCACTTGGGATCCCAGCAAGAGAGTGGGCTGGGCTGGTGAGAACTAGAGCTGGGGCTGACAAGGCCAGCCAGGTCAGTGGCATCAGCCTCTATACTGTGGAGCCTCAGAGGGCTTGATGCATCACTAGGAGCTCTGCAGGCAGCTGCCTACAGGCACTGGGCACTCCCTCTGTGCCAGGCCTGAGCTGCATGCCTTCTACAGATCATCTCATTCAATCTTCAGCAACCTTGGGAGGCAAGAACTGGGATTATTCCCATTTCATGAATGAGAAGGTTGAGGCATAGAGAGGGGAAGGGACTGACACAAGAGCGTTCCCATAAATAAACGATGGAACTGAAATGCAGTTAACCCTTAACTACACAAATTAATGGAGGGAAACAGAAATGAATCCAGGCAAGCAGAAACTTCACATTCTCAGGAATGTTTCACAACAAGGTTTTTGTTTCGTTTTGTTTTATTTTTAAATTTACTGTAAGGGTCTAATAGTAAATAGTTTAGGCTTTGTGGGCCATATGATCTCTCTTTTTCTTTTTCTTTGAGATGGGGTCTCACTCTGTCACCCAGGCTGGTGTGCAATGGTGTAATCTTGGCTCGCTGCAACCTCTGCCTCCCAGGTTCAAGCAATTCTCCCACCTCAGTCCCCTGAGTAGCTGAAATTACAGGGACCTGCCATCATGTCCGGCTATTTTTGTATTTTTGTAGAGACAGGGTTTCACCATGTTGGCCAGGTAGAATTCCTGATTTCTGGTGATCCACCTGCCTCAGCCTCCCAAAGTTCTGGGATTACAGGTGCGAGCCACCATGCCTGGCCTTATATGATCTCTTTTAAAACTACTCAGTTCTACTATCGTGGCACAAAAGCCGCCATAAACAAATGGATATGGCTGTATTCCAATAAAACTTTATTTACAAAAGACAGGGATCTGGACAGATGCGGCCCGCAGGATGCAGCTTGCTGGTCTTCTCTGACTTCTTTTTATTCTCCTTCTAAGTAGTGGGTGTCCCATATTAATTATGTTGTCCTGGCAAAGGGAAGGCCAGAGAACTAATATTTACTGGGCACAGATTTTGTACCAGGCTCCGGGCTAGGTGTTCTGACCTGTTAGCATGCTGAATGTGGCAGGCACCCCATGTTGAGAGGTTAGTAACAGACTCTCTTTGCTTAATGGGGGGTAAACTGAGGCTCACAGATGCTGACTTGCCTCAGAGCCCCCTGAGCAGTAGAGCTGGGATTTAGACCCACGCCAAAGCTTTCACTTTTCTCTCACACTATGGCTCTTCAGATCGGTTTGCGTCACCTGCAGTGGATTCTTACCACAGACACGTGGCTGGGGAGGCGGGGATTTCATTCCTTTCCCATGGATATTTGGGAGCCTGCTGAAGCTACAAAAAGCTGAGCCCATCAGTCCCTTAAGTTCACTGGGACTTCCAGCATCAAGTCCTGTTCCCCAAACTCACCGATCACCACCATCGGCGCCCGCATTATCTCTCTGACTTCATCCAAAGCACCCCCAGGCAATGAGTGACTTAACCAATCACACAGGAGCAAACAGAGTTCCAATGACCAATCAGGGTAGAGTTACCAGCCCAGAACCCCATCGGCCATTCCCTCCACCAACAGGACACGATCCTGCCTTTCAGGAATTGGTCACTCCTGGTGAAAAGCCAAGAGCACAGGACAGAATCCAGGGAGGATTCCTGATTCTAGAATAAAAACCCCAACCACCGTCAGCCTCCTACAGGAATGAGCACAAGGTTTCCACCAACATGCGGTCCACAAATGCCTGACTTTGGTGGCGGTGGGACCCTGGGTGCTGGGCTGAGGCCACCTACCTGAGGACTCAGGCCGTTGCTGACCGGGTTCATGTGGTTGGAGGACGCCGCCGGGTTCATGAAGCTGTCAGAGTAGCTGGAGAAGCTGTGGCGGGCCCCGTAGGCAGAGCTGGTGTCGGCGGCTGCAGCCGCTGCAGCCAGCCCGCCCTGGTGCATGGTGGACGGTGGCAGGGGCTGGGGCCGGTGCACAGTGCTGCCCCCATCTGTAGAGAGACCCAAGAGAGGTCCTAAGCAAGTGACCTCACCCCGCAGGCTGGGCCTCCGAGAGCAGAAGGCACGCCACGCGCCTCCTCCGCCCAGTCTCCAGCCCTTGGGAGGGGAGGGACCCCCTTCTCATGCTACCTGGGATGAGACAGGCTGGCTCCTGGGCAGGGCACTGGGCACTGGCCAGGTCTTGACTGACAGCCCAACATTCCAGACAACCCCTAGGCAACTGCACACCAGCCTCTGTTGCTCAGTGCTTGGCACACAGTAGGTGCTCAATAAATGTCAGCTGGACTGAAAGCCAGACCTCAATGAGAACTCTGTTAATCTACCCAGACCTGTTTCATCTTGTGAGCATCAACCACTTGCCGAGTGCTTTTACAAATGCTGCCTAAGGGTATGAAGCAAGACTATAAATCCGATTTTACAGATGAAGAAACCGAGGCTTGGTGGGCTCTGGGCACTCACACAAGATGACAAGGCTCATGAGGGATGGGCCAGGATTGGAATGGCCTGACTCAGGAGCCCGCTCTGTTCTTTGCTGCTGGGCTGTGACTGTGCTCTCTCTGAACCCCTCTGTGCAGGCATGCCAGGGCGGGGACCCTCAGCACTGGTCCGGTTTATCTTATAACATTACAGCGGTGGTGGAGCGGGTTCTTCGTTTCTCTCCTTGGCCTCCAGAACTTCAGCCTGCCAGCCTTTTAAGAGCAGGCTTTACGAGGTAGCTACTTTTTAAAAAATGTATTTATTTATTTTGCAGCCCAGGCTGGAGTGCAGTGGCATGATCTGGGTTCACTGCAACCTCCACCTCCTCCCCAGGTTCAAGCGATTCTCCTGCCTTGGCCTCCCCAGTAGCTGAGATTACAGATGCATGCCACCATGCCCAGCTAATTTTTTTTTTGTGTTTGTGTGTTTTTAGTAGAGACGGAGTTTCACATGCTGGCCAGGCTGGTCTCCAACTCCTGGCCTCAGGTGATCCTCCTGCCTCAGCCTCCCAAAGTGCTGGAATTGCAAGTGTGAGCCACTGTGCTTGGCCCATGAGGCCAGTATCACATACTGGTATTTCTGGTGCGTGCTAGGACAGGGCATGGGATGGGGCGTGCGGAATGGGCAGGGTCTGGGAGGTAGGGGAGGGAACCTTCTTCCCCTACAAGGCTCACCTTCTCTCCTGGGACTCAGCCTTCCCCTTCCCCTCCCAAGGCCCCTCTGATCCCCTAGCCTCTCTCTCCCACTCACCTTCTTCCCTCTGCCTACCCCTTTCCAAAGCTAGAAGGGAATCTTAGACTTCAAGCCACTGGGAGGGTGAGGCCTCCTTCCTAGGCAGACCTCAGGGTTCTGACCCCTTTCAGCCCAGCCTGGCCTAGAGCTGTTCACACAAGAGCGGGAGGAATCTCTCAGAGGGAGCTTCTCAGGTCCCCAAGGGAGGTCTTGATCTTGATTCCAACTGTGAAAACGGATCTTTTGAGAGAGAGGCAAGAAAATGACGTCCCAGCAAATTACTTAAGCCCCTTTGTAAATTTTTTTGTTATAGGTTGGAGGCCAACATAATCTAAAAAGAAACGGTTCCAACGTCCTCCTGTCAAGTACACACACGTTTACACACACACACTCATGCACGTACTCACACTCACACATGTACTCATGTCGCGCTCTCATTTTAAACGCTAGTCCTTGGAGATCTGGCTTCTTCCCTCCAAAGCTGGTCGGCCCAGTGTCCTCTGCTCCACATCCACATGCTCAAAGCCTGGTCCATGCCCCAGCAACGGGATCCCCAGGGGGCTTTTTAGAAGTGCAGAATCTTGGACCTCACCCAGACCAGCATTTTAATAACATCCCTAGGAGATCCACGTTCATGGTACCATTTGAGGCGCTCAGTTCTAAACAGGTGCACAGAGGCTGCCTTGGGGACCGTGCCTATCTGCTCTGTGTCAGGGCCACAAATTCTAAGGGCAGGATGGCATCTTTTTTGTCTTAATAGTCTGCTCATATGAAAGTCAGAAACGGTCATTTAAAAAAAGAATCCTTGTAAGTGAAAGAAAAGGAAGAAGGGACGGGGCGCCATTGAGATGGCAGGACGGGGCCGAGACACTTACCTTGGGAGATGGTGGTGGTGGAGTAGGTAGAGTCCGGCAGCTGGTAGGGGGGCAGCGTGGGCATGCCAGTGGGCGGGAAGCCTCCTGGCAGCAGGTGGTTGAATGCTGCCAGCTGGTTGGCTCCTGCCTGCTTACGCCAACGGGCGCGCCGGTTGCTGAACCAGACCTGGGGAACAGAGAGCAGAGAATGGAGACCCCTCGGCCAGGTTCCTGGCGGAGAGCTGCAACACGCCTAGACCCAGATGCCCAAGCCATCACCCTCTGATCCAGAGAGCATCCTCCTGCAGGGAGGGAAATCCTTGCATTGCGCAGGGCGGGGTGGTTTGCAAAGTGTTTTCCTAGTCATGTCCACATTCTGCCTTCACAACCACCAGTGAGGGGGTTCTGTATTATCCCCATTTTGCAGATGAGGAAACTGAGACCCAGAGAAAGTAGGTGACTCGTCCATGGGCCAGGGTGAGTCAGTGGCCCAGCCAGTCCTGCGTGGCTCTCAGTCCAGCGTTCTTTCCGCTGCAGCTGCTCCTTCCCCAAGGGATGCTGGTTCCCTGCTTGACCACCTCCTCCAGGAAGCCCCCCAGGGGGAAGCCACACATCTGCAACCTATCTGAATGAGACCTGCACTTCAGACCCAGATGTGCAAGCTGGGTTATGTGTCTGAAGACGGAGGCCCTACTTTGCTTACATACCCTGGGACTCCTTGAAATAGGAAACACACACGCACACGGAGGGTGGGATAGTAACCTGAAATCTTTGTCTCCCTTTCCTGCAAACACTGTGCTGGCACTTCACGTGTCAATCCATACACAGACCCGTAAGACACGGCCTCCTATTCCCATTTGACAGAAGGGGAAATCAAGGCTCACAGACGTCAAGTTGCTTGCCCAAGTCCACACAGCTAGTCTGTGTTGGAGCTGAGGTTCAAACTTAAAATCAGTCTAGCTTTCTGGAGCCCACTTACGTGGCTTTGCAAGTTTCCTGGGAGAGATCAGAGAAAGAGGAGAATGAGGGCGCGCTCTGGGGCTGCTTGGAGGGGCTCTTTTCCACTTTGGGCTTTGCACATGCTGGTCCCTCTCACCTGAACACTGCCTGCAGCTGACTCTTTGGCCTTCAGAGCTCAGCTGAAATGCTTCCTCCTACTCCGACTCCCTAATCGTCGCATATAAGGTGGGTTCAGGTAGGTTCTCTGTCTTCTCTTGGGGGCCTTCTGCCTCTGTGCTTCCCCACAGGAGCTATGACTCCATTTACTTGTTTCTTGGCTATGCTGCTCCTAATGTCCCTCTTGAGGCCAAGCTCCATGGGGCAGAGGCTATGCATCCCTTGCTCAATGCCTGGAGCTCAGTATTCAAGGAATACTTGTTGAATGAATGAAAGAGTGAATAATGAATGAATGAATGAATGAATGAACAAGGCAAGGCAGGGTTGGCTCTGGAGTATCTTTGCTGGGGCTGGGGCCACAAGGCTTAGCTGGTGTCCCATCCCGATGTGGGGATGAAGACCCCAACCTCCCCTGGCACCTGATCACCCAAGACCACCAAATGTCTGGACAGTATCTGCCGAGATGGGGGAGGGGAGGGCAGCCAGGTAGAGGGTGCTTCCGTGCCTCTCGTGTCATCCTTCCAGGGTGGAGAAAGCAGCGTTCAGCTTCTCAGTCTAGATACACAGAGCCGCTGCCTCTGACTTGTTCAGGTTTCACAGAGAAAGGAGAGGAGGCAGCCAAACCCGGAGGGAAAACAACCGGCCCCCAGTCGATTCAAAGTTCTGGCTTCTCCCCACTTCGGCAGGGCACCGAGGGCTTCCCCAGGGCACCCTGGTGTGGGAGGGATGCTGGAGAGGGAGCCCTGCAAGGGAAGGCCTTGTCTCCGAGCTCCCAGGCTCCCGTGGGGAGGTCTTTGTCCTAATTCAGTGTTTCCCAAACGTTGGGCCTCCTACCTCCGCTCCATGTTGGAGAAACAGAATTCAATAACCAAGACATGAGGCTGGGAAGGTTATTCCACTCCACTTCTCACCCAGGCCTCCTGGGCATGGGGAAGCGGGGAAGAGGTTTTGGTGCTAATGCATCCTCAGCACCTTCTAACCTGTGCTCACCTCCCTTTTGAACGCAGGGAGAGGAGGCGTTTGCCGGTGACAGTTTCCTGGAAGGTTTTCATCATGTTGTTTTGTTTTCCGTGTGTGTGTGTGTGTGTGTGTGTGTGTGTGTGTGTGTGTGTACAGTTGCGTTCCCTTTATGGGCGTGTTGTGCATTTTTATTTTAAAACACATTGATTTTATTGAAAAGTAAGTAACAATAGCGATAATATGTGAACGTGGCAAACGTCTTGGAGCGGGTTGGAGAATGATGGGTGTTTGGCATGCGCTGTTCTAGTTTGTTACGTAGCAGCTGGTCCTCAGGTGCAGCTCTTGCCTTTTCCTCAAAAAAAGAATGCTGAGGAAAGCTGGAAGCGTTCCTCCTCCGTCCCCCACCTTCTCCTTCCTTCCCTTTCTCTTCTCCCTCTTCCCTGCCTTCTTACCTTCCGCCTTCCCGTCTCAGACTTTTACTGGGACTCCTCTCTGTGCCAAGCAAGACAGGCTGGAGAGATGGACAGGACCCCATCCTAGCCCTCAAGCTGCCTTTTGCCTGGGCACGAGTCAAAGAGAAGCTGCTTTTCAGTGCAGTCAACCCAGATGGGGTGACATGCAAGGTTGGATAAGGAGCTCAGAGGAGGGACTTCCAACTTTGCCTCTCAGAAGCTGGGAGGACTTCCTGGCAGAGAGGGTATGCCTTTGTTGCCAATTCTGTCATCTCTTCTTCCTTTATTGTGCTATGTCCCGAGGTCCATATCACTCCCAGTAGGCGTCACCCTTCCCACTAAATGTAACAGGATGATTGAGATCAGGGACTCGAGCCTACTGCCTGGGTTGGAATTCTGCCTCCATCTCCTAAGATGGGAAAATTTTGTTATCCCTCTGTGCCTCAGTTTTTCATAAAATGGGGCTAATAACAGCCACCTCCTACATGATTCTGGACCTCAAATGAGTTGGCACAGGCAATGTGCTTAGAACAGCATCAGCCGCATGTAACTATCATTCTGCTGGAGACCCTCTGAGATGGCTAAGCTGGGAGGGTCTCTGCCAGTGTCTCGTGTGAGCTGCTGATTTACAGAGGAGAAAATAAATGCTCTAAGACGGACAGTGACAGCCCCAGCACCCTACCCAGAATCTCTTGTCAGGATTGAGTTCTTTGAAAGCAGGGGCTGGGTTTTATTCTTCACTTCTGATCCTGCTCTCAGTGCCCCACATTGTGAGTAGGGTACAGTTGCTGCCATCTGCGGACTGAGACCAGTACTCCATCTGGCCCGTCTCTTCACATAGCACAGGGGAAACGAACCTGAGCAGACTGACTGTGGTTCAAGTCCCAGCACAGTCACTTATGAACTGTGTCCTTTTTTTAATGTCTAATTTTTTGTGGCTACATAGTACGCATGCATATTTATGGGGTAGAGGGGATATTCTGATACAGGTATACAATGTATAATAATCACATCGAGGGCAAATGGGGTATCCACCAACTCAAGGATTTGCCCTTTGTGCTACAAACAGTCCAATTATACTCTTTTTTTTTTTTTTTTTTTTTTAAGACAGAGTCTTGCTCTGATGCCTAGGCTGGAGTTTAATGGTGCGATCTTGGCTCACTGCAACCTCCACCTCCTGGGTTCAAACAATTCTCCTGCCTCGGCCTCCCAGGTAGCTGGGATTACAGGTGCACACCACCACACCCAGGTAATTTTGTATTTTTAATAGAGATGAGGTTTCACTGTGTTGGCCAGGATGGTCTTGATCTCCTGACCTCGTGATCTGCCCGCCTTTTTTTTAAAGGTACAATTAAATTATTATTAAAAGCAATGCATCAGGAATGCTACCTATTATTATTATTAAGAGATTCGGTATAAGCTGTTAATTAGTAAATCTCTGTAGTGCTTCCACAATGGAATTTCTGTTCAGAACATCCCACCCGTACCCCAAGCAAGTAGCAGGTTTCCAAGGACTGTAAAGTAAGGAGGTGCTGCATACAGCCCTAGTTTCCTGGTGCTGGTCATCCGAAGGATGGGGGAGTGGTCACAGGCAGTTGTGGGAGAGGCCATGGGGTGACCTTGGGACCTATTAGCCCTGAAGCCTCTGTTTCTAGAAGAAATTCACAGGCTCAGGGTTGTGGCACCCAGGAAAAAAAATGGATTGGTTCACCTCTAAGAGAGACATATGTATCACTCCAGAGAAAGAAAAGATGGATTTCCAGGCATGGGCTCTCCTGCCTGACTCCCCCTTGCCTGCCCTTCACGTGGCTCTGGCTTTCTCCTGGCTGAGGCAGAGGTGTTGCGGGCACTGGTGACATCCAGCAGGCTTCAAGCAGAGGCTCCCGGCACCTGCAGAGAAGCAGGGCTGGAGGGAGCCAGAGGGGATAACAGGCCACTCTTTGGTGACCAGATCCCTGGCTGCCCTCATGTCTACCTGAGCACGTGTTTATGATAACACCAGCTTCAAGAGAGCAGAGATGTTTTGCCCAGTGAATCCTCAATGCCTAGAACAGCGCCTGGCACACAGCAAGTACTCCGTAAATGACTGCTGGGTGAACATACCTGGAGCTGCAAAGGCGGCTAGAATTGGAGCTGCCAAGAACAGGCAGAGTTTTAGGAAGAACCCCCATTTCTGGTATTTCTGTGTGCAGGTACATCCATTTTGTTTTTACATGTAATCATTTAATCCTCAGAGCAAGGGAGACATTAATATCATCATCTTGCAGGTGAGAGATGGGTGGAGGGTGGAGAGGGGAAGAGGTGGGGCTGGAATCCAAATCTAGGCATTTGGCTCTGAGCCCACCCTGAACCAATCCACTAACCCCCCCATCTCCCAGGGCCACCGAGATGAAATATTATAGGATGGGAAAACCCCAGAACCACAGATCTTTAGAATCAAAGACCAAGATGTAAAATGTATGAAGTCATACAATCTCAGCAGTACTCAGGGGACTTGGAGGTCTTAACTCCAGGGTCCCTGATTGACTGGACCCTGTGCTTTTGTTTGAATACCTCTGGTCATGGGAATCTCATCACCTCACAAAGCATCCCTGATGGTCAATAAATAAGGATCCTAGAACTGTAAGAGACTTAGTGATGGTTGAGTTTCATCCCCTTATTAGCGGATAGAAAATGAAGTCTCAGGAGAGGAAATTGACGTGTTGAAGGTGACACAGCCGACGGGGGCAGAAACCCAGGAGCTCTCAGTCCCAGGCTCTCTTCCTATAGACCTTTACGTTGGACTTGAGATGCTCCTCTCTTGATGCTGGCCCTGGGCTCACCCTCTGGGGACTCTCAGAGCAGCTGTGTCCTTCAAGTCTTCACTTCTCCAGGCTAAATGCTCTTGATTTCTTTTTTTGGTCAACCTTTGTTTATTATGTATGTATGTATGTACGTATGTATGTATGTATTTATTTTGAGATGGAATTTCACTCTTGTTGCCCAGGCTGGAGTGCAATGGTGCGATCTCGGCTCACTGCAACCTCCACCTCCTGGGTTCAAGCCATTCTCCTACCTCAGCCTCCCAAATAGCTGGGATTATAGGCACGTGCCACCATGCCCAGCTAATTTTTCTTTTTTTGAGACAGAGTCTTGCTCTGCTGCCCAGGCTGGAGTACAATGATCTCCATTCACCACAACCTCTGCCTCTTGGGTTCAAGTGATTCTCCTGCCTCAGCCTCCAAAGTAACTGGGATTACAGGTGCGTGCCACCATGCCCAGTTATTTTTTTTGTATTTTTAGTAGAGACGGGGTTTCTCCATGCTGGTCAGACTGGTCTCAAACTCCCAACCTCAGGCGATCTGCCCATCTCTGCTTCCTAAAGTGTTGAGATTACAGGCGTAAGCCGCCGCGCCCAACCCTTTGTTTATTCTTTAAAAACTCAAGATTTTTTATTCCCTCTTCTCTGAGAAAGCTCTCAGGCTAAGTCTTGCCTTGTCCTAGAGAGAGCCCCATGCACTGGGGAAGCCCAGAGAATGATAGGAAGCCCACAAGGCACAGGAGGCAGGCCCAGCCCCCTCAGGATGGCTTTGCCTGCGGTCTGGCTGCTTCTCTGTTCCCAGACCCCCTCCTTCCGTGGACCTTGAGTGACACCTGTTTCTGAGTCCCCTGGGCCAATAAAAGCCCTGCTCTGACAGCCAGGAAATTTTACAAGGAGCGGTCAGGCTTCAAGGTGGTGGGAAGCCGCCATGGCCTCCAGACAAGGGAACAAGAAAGCACCCAGGAATGTGCCCAGGAGAACAGCTGCAGGAGGATCAGAGCGGGAGGGGGGCCTGGAACCAGGCAGCTCAGATATCACCTCCGACTAGAAGGGAGGGAAGGAGATGAGCTGGCTGCTGCCGCCTGCCCCCTTCCCCTTGGTGTCTCCCTCAAAGGAGTGGGGACAGGGGGCGGACGGGTGTCCGCTGGGTCTTGGAGTGCTGGAACACCCCTTGCTTCTAGGATTGTCCCAGTTGCTTTCAAATTCCAGCTTCTGACTCAACTTGTTCCTTCCCCTGGCTGGAAAGAATGTGGGTTTTGCTAGCTGCTGGGCCTGGCTCAGCCCCCATCCAGCCCGGGCCCCTGGCCAAGCTGCTTCTCTGAACTTCCAGTTTCTGCACCCGTGGCTTGCAGGGGGTGACCATACTGACCCGACAAGGTGGTCTGAGCTTCCACCAGGTCATGTGTGAGAAGCAGCCCAAGCAATGCCAGTGGCACCAAGTGGGTGCCAGGCAAGGGCTGTTTCCTCTTGGATAGGAGTGCTTGCTGTCAGCAGTTTGGGGTGGTCCCTCTGCAGGCTGCTCTGACTCCCTGAGCACTGCTTAGATTCTGGTAACGGGGATCTTTCTCCTCTCTCAATGCCTCCCCATCCATGGAGAAGGCAGCCTGGGAATGGATTCCCACAAGAACCATCCATCACGACCTGTCCTGGTTCTTCCTCCTCCATCCCCAACCCTCCAGCCTCTGCCTTTCCCTTCAGGCCCCCAGAGAGGCTCCTGCACTTGGAGAACAACTGTAGGCCTCCTGGAATTCAACAGCTTGGTCTGGGGAGGTGAGGCAATGCCCCCAGGCCCCTTGCGGCAGGCCTTTACCCCAGCCGCCACCCCGGGACAGGCTAGGCAGTCCTCAACAGGTTCTGGGGGTTGTGTCGACAAGCAATTGTCGGAGGCTCTTGGTCTTCTCCCCTCTTCCTTCCCACACACTGAGACTGTGGAGGGGATGTTCAGGGCCGTCAGGGGCTGCCCACCCTGCCCTGATGCACCTAACCTGCCTGCTGAGTCTGCTTGCATGCTTCCTGTAATGGGACACTCATCACCCATCTGAGGAAGCTAGGCTTGTTTGGATCACTTCCTCTGCTCATCAGAGATTTGGAGATTTTTATACTCCCCAAACCCTCTCTTCTGGCTGAACTAATGCCGTCCCTCCCTCCCTTCTTTCTTGCTTTGTGAGATGGAGTCTCGTTCTGTTGCCCAGGCTAGAGTGCCGTCGGCTCACTGCAACCTGTCCCTCCCCAGTGCAAGTGATTCTCCTGCCTCAGCCTCCCAAGTAGCTGGGATTACAAGCGCCCGTCACCACACCGGGCTAATTTTTGTATTTTTAGTAGAGATGGGGTCTCGCCATGTTGGCCAGGCTGATCTTAACTCCTGACCTCAAGTCACCCACCTGCCTCAGCCTCCCAAAGTGTTGGGATTACAGGTGTGAGCCTCCTAACTGCATTAACTGCTGGTGGCATTACTTGTCTACACAACCCCCTGGGCCTGGTGCAGTAAAGCCACTGACCTTGGCCGTCCCGAACTTCTGAATCTCTGGAGTATGGCTGCAGCGCCAACACCGGGATGCCGCCTCACCTGCACACGCGCCTCGGTCAGCTTGGTCCTCTGCGCCAGCTCCTCACGGGTGTAGATGTCCGGGTAGTGGGTCCTCTCGAAGGCCTTCTCCAGCTCCTCCAGCTGCTCGGCCGTGAACGTGGTCCGACTGCGGCGCTGTTTGCGCTTCAGCGGGAGGTCCGGTTCCGACTCCACGTCCGAGCCTTCGTCCAGCCGGTTCCCTACAGCAGGAGGAGAGGGAGGGAGAGGGCAGGGGCTTAGAGAGATGGCAGGGTGCCGGGATCCGGGAGGAGAGCACAAAGGCACATGTGTGCCCACCTAGGACCCGTCACTGCACTGAGGATCAGACCCCTCCCAAGCACAAGGAAGAAGGATGCTCCCCCAGCATTATTTATCAGTGTGAAGGTCGCAAAGCAACCTCCATGCCCAACCCTAGGGTACTGCTTAAATGCTTTCTTGCAAAGCCTTTCTCTTTAAAAAATAGTCCCCTCTGGTTGGGCGTTTTGGTTACTTCCACTGCCATGCAAGGAGGTCCATGACATAAGACTCAAGGGGTGGTGTCATGGTGAGATACATTTGACAAAATCCATAGAGCTATATTCTCGGTTAAAAGGGCGGAATTTTACTGTATATTAACTATACCTCAATAATCCTGACTTTAAGAAAAAGCCAGCCAGGTATGGTGGCTCATGACTGCAATCCCAGCATTTTGGGAGGCTGAGGCAGGAGGATTGCTTGAGCCGAGGAGTTCGAGACCAGCCTGGACAGCATAGCCAGACCCCACCTCCAGAAAACAGTAAGAAAATTAGCTGGGTGTGGAAGTGCATGCCTGTAGTCCTAGATACTCAAGAGGCTGAGGTGAGAGAATCACTTGAGCCTGGGAGTTCCAGGTTATAGTGAGCCAATCACACCATCACATTTCAGCCTGGACAAGAGAGCAAGACCCTGCCTCAAAAAAAGAAAAAGGCAAGGCAGAAACCAGTGTGCGAAGATAGATCCCACTTTTGGACAAAGCACACAGGACACATTAGGAAGCACTGTACCCCAAAAATAACCGATGCTAACCTCCGGGGCGACAGGACTTTTGTTTTCTTCTTTACGCTTGTTTACATTTTAGCATTTAAAGAATAGTGATCCTTTAAACAGCAACGGAGTGCATCTTAGGAAGTAAGGAAAGAAGGAAGGCGGGAAGAAATCAAGCGAAGGACAAAGCAAGTGGATGCGTCCAGAGCTGCCCATTAAGAAGCTTAGATTCCGGGCCGGGCGCGGTGGCTCACGCCTGTAATCCCAGCACTTTGGGAGGCCGAGGCGGGTGGATCACGAGGTCAGGAGATCGAGACCATCCTGGTCAACATGGTGAAACCCCGTCTCTACTAAAAATACAAAAAATCAGCTGGGCATGGTGGCGCGTGCCTGTAATCCCAGCTACTCAGGAGGCGGAGGCAGGAGAATTGCTTGAACCCGGGAGGCGGAGGTTGCGGTGAGCCGAGATCGTGCCATTGCACTCCAGCCTGGGTAACAAGAGCAAAACTCGGTCTCAAAAAAAAAAAAAGAAGCTTAGATTCCAGGCTTGGCTCTGCTCCTAAATGTGGGTGACCTTGGGAAGGCCACCTCCCCTCCTTGGGCCTCACTTTCCCCATTTGTGACATGAAGGGTCTGGATTAGGTGGCTTCCAGTGACAAGCTCTTTCTGGGATGTCCCAGGGTCTCTGAGTGATCCCCCCAGGCTAGAGGAGGAGAAGACCTCAGCTGAATGACCTTGGTCAAGACCATGGACCCCACTCCATCATCCCCACTAATTTCCACCATGGAGACTGGGGGTGGGTGAAGGCCTTTTGTTTCCTGGACCTGAAGAGCACGGAAGGCTGGAGCCAGCTTGCTTCCCAGGCCTGGTTGGGGTTATCAGGCCGGGAATCTGTGGCCACAGGAAGTGCTGCTCAGCCTCCTTAGCTGTGGGGGCTGAGGTACCCGGGGACTGGTCCCCATCAATCCTATGCCTCCTGCCCACCTCTGACCCAGCAGAGGGGATGTTGCAGGCATCTCCCAGCGAGGGCTCCCCTGGGGAGCTGCGGGGAGCGGGGAGAAGAGGAAGGAGAGAGGGAGATGGGAAAGGGAGCAGACACTCAGAGGTCACCTTCCTCCCCGCCCCCTCCTGCTTTCTCCTTTTTCCCATTTGCCTTCACTTCTTTCTCTCCCTTCCTCTCCTCCTCCATCTCGGGTATTCCTGGAAGCGCTTTTATGTTTTTGTCATTCACTCATTCACTCCGTCCCCCAGAGCGTTTATTGAGTACCTGGTATGCACCTGAAGGGCTTAGGTATGCAGTGGGCAAGGTAGGACCTGAGCCCTGGGCTTGAGGCACTCAGCCTGAGTCAAGCTAGAAGAGCCTTGGAGACCTCGTGCTGGCACCAAAGATGGGAGAAACTGAGTCCCAGAAAGGTAACGAACGCAGGGTGCACTCAGACGCTGCTCCCCTCCCCTGACCGCTTCCACCACGACAAAGATCCCCTGCCTCCCCATCGCTTCAAGTGTTAATTATATAAATAGGCCTAGGCCCCTCCCCCAAGGGGCAGACCCCTCCTCCCCTCAACAAAAACAACAACAGAAACTAGTACAGCCTTAGACGTTAAGTGGAGGTGAAGGGAAAGGCAGTGCAGGCAGAGGGAAGGGCACGTGCAAAGGCCCGGTGTGTCAAAAGGCATGCCGGGTAATTTAATCATGGGGCCACATTCAGAGCCAGGAACCAGGTGGGTGTGGCCCGGGGGTGTGGGAGGTCATGCGCCTAGAGAGTCATCCATCTTGGCAATGCCTTTCTGCCCTGGGCCCACTCCCTTCCATCCTGCTATCTTCTCCATTGGAAAGTTATCCTTGCTTTTTGCTGACCAGTGCCAGGTGATTTCTGACTGTGACACCATGCCACACAGCAAAGGAACAGATTGCGAGAGAGTCCTGCCTTCGCCTTGGCCTGCCTCATCCCCAAGGGCAGAGACCTAGGGCCAGATCTAACCCCCTCCTCTGCCCTTGCCCTTCCTGCCAGGGCTGCCAGTTACCCAGCCCCCCAGTCCCTGTGGGGAGACCATGGTGGGCATAGCTGGCATCCTGGGGCCCCTTACCCACCACGACTAGGGCTCAGAGCTAAATACAACTAATGCCAAGGATTCAATTCCTGAAATGCACTGCATAACCTCCGTGTTCTGATGGAGACAAAGAGAGCCAGCCTTTGAGGCTTCAGAGGAAGGGAGCAGGCATTGGTCAGGCAGGCAGGGAGGTCAGCCCGTGGATGGGGAATGAGGCCCAGATTCTCCAGTGAGGATACCCAAGCTCAGATAGGAGGTGAGTGGGATGGGGAACAGAGTTGTGGGGAGTGCAGTCTCTGGGCAGAGATTGTCCTCAGAGCTGTGAGGTCAGAGATGAGGGCAGACACAGGCCGTACCCTCGGAGAGCCCCAGGCTGGTGGAGGAGGAATAGCCTTGTCCTGGGAGAAATCCTGGTCTTTTTAATTTATTTTTTATTTTTATTTTTTTGAGATGAAGTTTTGCTCTCACCCAAGTTGAGTGCAGTGGCGACATCTCTGCTCACTGCAGCCTCTGCCTCCCGGGTTTCAAATGATTCTCATGCCTCACCCTCCCGATTAGGTGGGACTACAGATGCATGCCACCACGGCCCAGCTAACTTTTGCATTTCTAGTAGAGACGGGGTTTCACCATGTTGGCCAGGTTGGTCTCGAACTCTGGTCTTGAACTCCTGACCTCAGGTGATCCTCCTGCCTCGGCCTCCCAAAGTGCTGGGATTACAGGTGTGAGCCACCGTGCTGAGCCTGGAAATCCTGATCTGATTGAGTCTCCATTCAGCTCTAGAGCAGCGCTGTCCAGTAGAAGTTTCTGTGATGATGGAAACATACTAGATTTGCAGTGTTCAATGTGGCAGTACTAGCCACAGGTGGTTTTCAGCACCTGAAACCTCCCTACTGCAACTGAAGAACTTCATCTCTCACTGTATTTAATTTTAATTCAAATTCACACAGTCACGTGTGGCCGGTGGCTACCACCGAAGCCAGCACACACCGAGACAATCACGAACACAGTTGTTCTCCTTTTAACAAAGAGGGGGCAGGCCCCAAGCTCATAGCTTCCTGTGTGCAAATCTCTAGGTGGAACTTAACAACGTTGCTTGTTTTTATGCTATTTATGTTTTTTATGGTTCCCATCTCTTTATAGGAAACGATACTCATTTTCCATTCATAAGAGCATTAATATCCTTGAATTAGATTTTTTTAAAGGTGCTTTTAGGCTGGGCACAGTGGCTCACGCCTGTAATCCCAGCACTATGGGAGTCCGAGGCAGGCAGATCATGAGGTCAGGAGTTCAAGACCAGCCTGGCCGATATGGTGACACCCCATCTCTACTAAAACTACAAAAATTATCTGGGTGTGGTGGCACACACCTGTAAGTCCCAGCTACTCGGGAGGCTGAGGCAAAAGAATCACTTGAACCCATGAGGCAGAGGTTGCAGTGAGCTGAGACCATGCCACTGAACTCCAGCCTGGGAAACAGAATGAGACTCCATCTCAAAAAAAAAAAAAAGGTGCTTTTGGATGAAAGTAAAATATTAAGGACATAATAGGACAAGATATAAAGTCGTGACCAAAATCATGAATGTAGTTAGTGAATGACCAACATTTATTTGCTTTATGCCACTGAGTGAGAAAATTAAAGGTGCTTCTGCCAAGCCCCCAGCCTCAGTGCCTTTTCATGCCTCCTCCGATCCCTCTGTCCTGCAAGTCACCTGCAGCTTTCTAGACTCACCATGGAGTTCTGGGTCGAATTCCTTCCTGTCTCCCTGTCCCTCTCACCCCTTAATCTGCATGGATTTGGGGAGCTCCAGAGAGATGCCTGGACCAAAGCCCAGACTGGGGAAGGCCAAGCAGGGCCCACAGGTCTCTCCTGTCGGAAGGGAGCTAGGCTGATCCTCGTGGATGTTGGAGGCTGCCATAACAACCCTCTCGGTACTGAGTGGGGAGGGCAGAGCTCTGTCTCACTGCCTCCCGAGATCCAGAGAGATCTTAAGAGAACGGAATTGTAATTTGTTTGTGACTTCAGCCCCTGAAAAAGAGCTTCCACCACCTGCCTTGGCCAAGGTCAGGGGAAGAGACCCCCATTCTAAAACCTCTGTGCCAGCCTTCATAGCTCTGTGAAGCTGGGACTACTGACTCCTTTACAAACAG